GTGTTCTACCACTTGAACTACATCTCCAGTTCTTTTTAGTTTATTCTTCAGATAATGTCTTGCACTTTTACTCTGGTTTGGTCTCAAATTGTGATTCTCCTACCTGATAGGTAATAATGTCACCATTTTGGTGAATCAGTGGCAAAAATGGCAGCCCCACCCCTAACAGAAATTCCCATGCTCTAAGACAGCCCACCCCTACCAGAGAACTACCGCGCATGCAACTAACTTCCTTAACCTCCCCCTTCTATAAAAGCCACGCCTGGCCCAGAACTGTGCTGCGCAATCTTTCCCCGGCCAGCTTTGGGGGTTTGAGCCTGCCATTAACTTTGCTCTTGATGTGAGACATTTCTCGGAAGACATTCCTCCCAGGTGTTCCACATCTACTCTCTCCTGAGGAACTGATATTTCAGGGACGCCCTCCATTGTCTCTCTTGGTCAGGCCTCACCATGGAGATTGGACCGTCAAATTCCTTCAGACTCCCATTGGGATGTCTCCTGGCCAACCTTGGCCCCTCCACCTAACCCCTGATCTTAAGCCATGAAAGCTCATTTTTCTCTGTAATCAGGCATGGCCCCAATTACCTATTAGACAATGCCTCCAAATGGCCACTTACTGGCACTTTCAATTCACAATATTTTAAGGGATTTATACAATTTCTGTGAGCATGCTGGTAAATGGAAGGAAATAACCTATGCCCAATCCTTTTCCTGTCTCCACACCAAACCCTCCCTTTGTACTTCCTGTTCTCCCGTGCAGGTTCTATTTAGCCTCTAAACCAGCTTCTAACAAACCAAAATCCTCTCCGAACCTCCTCCTTCCCCATGTAAGCAGACTTCTTGCATGCTTAGGCTGCCTGTCTCTTCCTATCTTCCTGAAGGGCTTTCCATCTTGGTGTCAAGCACTCCTTGCCAATTCTGTGCCTCAAGGAGGATTCTAGCTCTGGGAGAGCTCATGCTACCTCCCTGTGGGCTGAGACCAAGTCAATCACAATATTTAAGGGATTTATACAATTTCTGTGAGCATGCTGGTAAATGGAAGGAAATAACCTATGCCCAATCCTTTTCCTGTCTCCACACCAAACCCTCCCTTTTGTACTTCCTGTTCTCCCGTGCAGGTTTCTATAAGCCTCTAAACCAGCTTCAAACAAACCAAATCCTCTCCGACACCTCCTCCTTCCCCATGTAAGCAGACTTCTTGCACTGCTTAGGCTGCCTGTCTTCTCCTATCTTCCTGAAGGGCTTTCCCATCTTGGTGTCCAAGCCACTCCTTCCAATTCTGGCCTCAAGGAGATTGTAGCTCTGGGAGAGCTCATGCTACTCCCTGTGGGCTGAGACCAAGCCATGGTGTTTATCTCAGCAACTGAGATGGAGGTTTGCATGTTTGCTTGAAAGGTGTTCCAGTACTTAGTCAATGGGAGTGACCTAGAGGCACAGGTGATGGGCTGAAGCCCTCAGGGCATGTGTCATGTCTCCAGGCTCTGCCTTTCCCCGTCCCTTACCTAAGATGTCAGGAACCTTTTCTGCTTTACCTCCATGGTCTCACCACACAGTTCCTTGTCTTGTCTATCTTCCCCTCCCTGGGCTTATTGGGACCCTGCCTCCCATGAAGAACTTGTAGCTTGATACCTTATGACTTAAGCTATTCCAACTAGTTTGCCAGGCCTCTCAGTCTAAAGTAACATTAAATCAGCTGCTAGGCAAAAGCGCTTACAAAAAAACAAACAAACAAAACTGCGGCTGCCACATTCACACCCTAACTCCACCCCACAAGGGAGGAGGAAAAAGCAATAAGCATGCTCATGCACAGTGGGAACGCCTGCTATAGCTAGAAATCCATAGGCCAACCCAAACACATCCAAGGCCACCAGCCACACATGGTGGTGGCTGCAGCCCACCACCACTTCCCCTAGAATAAATGCATACAGAGTAACTGGAAGGGGGAGGGGCACAGGCCGCAAGATCAGGCCTAGGCAGGTCAGGCTCGCTTGTCCCAGGTGTGTGTGGAGGGGTTGCACATGCCCTGCTCCTAGCCCACCTCACACCTCAGGGCACTGGACCAGGCCCTTGCTAAGCCAATTGTTAGCTCAAGTTATGTCCCAGAAATAGCAAAATGGACGTTACGTGTGGTCTCTAACTTCCATTTAAAATTTTCTAGTACTTTTTGGCTTCACATTAAATTTTTCCCTCCAAATTATAAACCACTTGTTGTCCCATATGGTACTGTTATTGGCCTGAATGCCCTCTGAACTGCCTTTCCTAACTTCACAGGAAACCTGTATTCTTTGTTTAAAAAAAAGTAGCCTTTTTAAAGAGGCCGCCTGCTGTTAACTAAAAGACAGAACCTAACCATTTGGGTCTTGTCTAGATGGGACTTGTTACCTCCCAGTCTTCTGGCTGGTAGATGTTGGAAAGCTTTGTTACGAGGCCGGGCCTCAGTATGCCTTTCGGTGACCAAGGAGACGTGGCCTTTACAGGGCTTCTTAAATTACAATACCATACTCCAATTAGACCTTTTCCTATAAAAGGAAAAAAATGTAAACTGAGTCCCCTATACAGTTTTCTTTCATCTCAGATTGGCTCCACAATTGCTATTTTAGATACTCAAATGCTGGCCATTCTTTGTAAGCCACAGGATAAACATGGAAAGGAGGACCAGAAAATCCCCTTATCAATGAAAGGCTCACCCCTACTGACTCCACCCTCTGCCCTACCATTCTAAGCCACCCCAATATTCAGAACCTCTAATGGGTGCTTCTCCCTTCAATAGTAATGGTAAAGAAGAGGTGGTCTATGTCCCCTTTCCAGCTATCAGATCTAAGGGAAATTAAAAACATCTGGACAGCTATACTGATGCCCAGACAAAATACATCCAAGCCTTATCTTCTGTGATCCAAACCTTTCAATTGACATGAAAGGATATTATGCTTCTACTAGACGGACTCTGTCCTCATTAGAAATGCAATGGGTTCTGGCCTAGGCCACTCAGGTTGAAAATGATTACATTTACAATGAGCCCCAATACTAGTGGCACCTGGAAATGAGGGAATAAATGTGCCTACCTTACAGGGCACAGGCAGTCCCTTGACAGACCACACTAAAAGGGGCTGATGTATGGCTCAAAGCAGTAAAGTGCTGAAAAGTCCTGGGTTCAAGCCCAAGTGCAGCCAAAGGAAAGAGGAAAAAAATATATGTATTTGGAGATAAGGAATAGCTCAGTGAGAGAGTGTCTGCCCAGCATGTGCAAGCCCTGGTTCAATTCCCCAGCATTTGCTAAATAAAATAAATAAATGGTAAGGAAGATAAGTGGCATTAATATCACTTCAGCCATCTCATAGTGGAAGAAAGTAGTTATAACCTAGACCAGATTCCTCATTCTTTCAATTGAGGGAAACTGAGGCCCAGAAACATTTATACGCGACCGCTCTTCCAGAGTATCAAGTGTCAATGTGAAATAACAAACTTTGCTTTACAGCAACTCCTTGAAGAAATCCCCTTACCTTCTGTAGCATCTTGAGTTGCTATCAGAAAGCATACCACAGTGGACCCAGAGTCACACGTGAGAGAGTTCTCCTCAAAGATAAATTTCTAACAGTCAGACCCTGATATTTGTAGAAAAACTCAGTCTGTGGTAGGAGAAAATTCAATGGATCAATTAATATAACTAGCCATTTCTGTGTACTATAAACAGGGACATTACTAACAGAGAGAAAAATAAGAGACACATGACCTCATTGCTGCCCCCATCCAACTGGGGTTGTATCCTGAACTTGCTACCATGTGGACAGGAGGGGCACTTCTGCAGAGAATGCTCAAGGGAGACAGGCCCTTGTCCCCAACAGGGACCTGCCCCTCTGCAAAGGTAACTACTGAAGTCTAAGTGCCCCCACCTCCAGATGGAAGGCAAGGTGCCACCTCCTAATGGATTGATGGGTCCTGCCCTGTCCATGCTCCATTTTTGACATCGACTGTTGAGGAGCTTGGGGTAGCCATGATGGCAGAAAAACAAAAGATCACTTTCCTCCTAGACAATGGAGCTCATTCTCTGTTTTTAACCTTTCTCTCCAGGTTGCCCAGTCCAATGCAAAAGCTATCGTTCGGGGACAATCTGGCAAGCACCTAGAGGCTAGTTTACCCAGCCTCTGGCTGCTCTTGGGGAGACTCCTCTTTTGTATTCTTTCCTCATAGTACCTAAAACTAATGATGGAATGGAATTACTATCTCAATTAAAAGCTCAAGTTCTCCTCCCCCAGGCAGCTAATCTCTGCTGCTCCCTCCTTCAGGAACAAATAGATTCCAACAGTGTGTACTGATAGACGAGTGTAGGGTGAGCCTGGATGGCCCTCTCTATTCAAATAAAACTCAAAGATCCCTCACAGTTTTTCCACACCCAAAACAACATCCCCTCAAGCTGAGGAGGATGAGGCTTATGCCCATCATAAATTCCTTAAAACAACAAGGGCTACTAATTAGATGTGCTCAGCCCCTATAATAAATTTAAAATTCTTATGAAAATCAATTTTAAAATACAAGTTACAAAGTAAACAACTGGAAAGGATATAGATAGGTAATAAATGTATTTTTTGAGAAGTTAAAGGAAAAAGGAATTTTTTGGGATGAGAAAAGGATTTTGTACAGAAGGGTTTGTCCTAAAGATTGTTTCAAATAGGATGGATTAGGATAAGCCATCAAAGGGTTTAGTATGTTATATAAAGGTCTGAGTAAGCTTTAAAGTGTATATAAAAGCTTCAGTGTGTGATAAAGTTAAACTTGAGTATAATCTAAGGAGTTGCCTAAAAGATTTTTAGGTCATGTCAAACTAAAATCAAATTCTCTATGTCTATAAAATAGCAAGGTTATCTTAATATTGTTCTGCTCTGAGTAACATCTACAAAAAACCATTACAGAGAGATTTTATCAAAGAAATTATTTTGTTTTCTGCTGATCTTGTCAAGCTTTAAGTACTACTAAATGTGTCTTTTTTTTTTTATTATTGCACATCACTCCTTTTTATACTGATCTTGGAAAAAAAGATTTAGTACAGTTATGCTCAAAATGAGTACCGGACCCATGTGGCATAGCCAAGCAACTGGAAACATGACTTGAAATCAGACACAGTGAAAGACACACTGGACATTACATGATCAAGAGGCTTTTCACTGCCACAAAACAAAGACAGTGGAGGGATTCTAAGAGGCACTCTTGCCCCTTAGAGACCAAGACACCATATTGTGTGAGGAATGACTTATCTTCTGGTGACCACATATGGACTATTTCAACCGCCACTAGGACCCTAGAAGGTTTTTTTACCAGTTTTATTTATATGTATGTATGTAAATCTTTCTTTTTTTGTAAAAGTAAATGTAACACATAAACATAACTCAGGATTGATCCTAATCTTCTGGAGCCAATAACTCTGGGCTCAGGGAGGAAAAAGTTTTTAAGTCACCATGCAGGTTACATTCATTTTTCCATGGGAAAGACTAGAACCCCCAGACAGTTATAATTGCAAAGAGCACAGGACTATCTTCTATAGGAACATGAGTGTGCTCTGTGGCTTCCCATTGTCATGCCTCAGCATCAATTCCTCCCTAAGCCACTACCTCAAGCAGGGTCCTTAGTAGATAAAGCTCTAGGAAAGACTGGAATTATTATCTCAACTCTCCTGGATAAGAAGAGCTTTCCCCGCTTCAGACTACAAACCTGTGCCCCAGAGGTGGCTGTTCTGCCTAACATCCTATGAGAGAGTGGGTGCAGGAAACAAAATGCTTAAAAATGAAAATGGGAGCCACCAGTACCCATCTGCAGCTACAACTTAAGATCCTACAGATGTGGTCAGTGTGAGAGGTGCAGAGGAATAATGGGCAGGGAGGGTGCTTCTTGGGGTACAGGTCAGCCGGCTGGCCTTCACTTCTTGGCCTTGCCCTGGCAGCCACAGCTTCCATGGCTTTACGCACAGTCTCTTAATCCCCCCAGGAACTGTATGGGCTTGATGGGCTTCAAGTTTTTGTCCAATTCATAGACAACGGGAATGCCAGTTGGCAGGTTCAGCTCCTGATGGCCTCTTCAGACAGACCCTTCAGTGCTTGACAATGCCACAAAGGCTGTTGCCACAGGCTGCAATCAGGACCCTTTTCCCCTCCTTGATCTGGGGGACGATTTTCTTCATTCCAGAAGGGCAGTGCTCTGGCAATAGTGTCCTCAGACTGTCACAGGAGGGTAGCTGATCCTCAGTAAAGATCGGCATACCTGCGATCCTTACTGATGTTGCTGTAGAAGGGATGATTTCAGGCTCCATTGGAGGGTGGTGGGACATCATAGGAGTACCTCCAAATCTTTACCTGGGCCTCACCATGCTTTGCAGCAGTTTCTGCTTTATTGAGAACCAGTGAGACCCCCATAGTGCCACCATTGAGGTTGCCAAGTCCTCATCACTGGCAACCACATCTGGTCAATGGCATCCAACACTGTCCAGAGGGTCTGGATTGCTCTTTTCTGCACTGAGGTGAAGCAGATGTCAAATTCATAGCCAGCATCTCGCAGCGCCTGCCCGCCACGCTTCACCTCCTCATGGCCCACCGGGCTCAGGTTGGTGTCGTACCATCCGCTGAAGCGGTTCTTCAGGTTCCAGGCACTCTCGCTGTGCCGGATCAGCACCAGCTTGCAGTTCAGCCATTAGCAGTGGGCTAGGATGCAACACGGGACTCTTGCTTATGTGTCTTAAATGACCACCTTGTAACAGTGTATACTTTATCTAAATATGGTACAACATTTACAAAGTTAAAAATGTAAGTTATATTAAAAATGAGCTAGAGTTCTCTTTTATTCCAAGAGTGTTTACATTTTAAATCCTGACAGCCCCTGCCTCCAACAGGTCACCTACCTAGGTGTGGCCTTAAAGGGACAGACTCACTCTCTGAGTCATGAATGCATCAACCCAATCTTCCATTTCCCTCCCCCCATACCATAAGGCAGCTTAAGAGCTTTCTTGGGAGCTACAGGATTTTTGCAGGATCTATATCCTAGATATGCAGTCCTTTAACAGACACCTTTTATGCTCCTTCTAATAAACTTGCTCCAACATACCCTGCTACTCTGGCTGACTACTACCTTATCTTAACCTTCTCAGGGAACTTCTCAGAGAGCATGCAGACCAGATCCTGCCCCACCCAATAACAATTTCTGTTAAACCAGGGCATCTTGTTCTCCTCAAGGACCTTCTACCCTCTCCATTGGGACTTCAGTGGACCAGCACTCATCTGGTCATTCTCACAATACCCAATGCTGTCAAGGTTAATGGATCCCCCAGTGGTGGCACCTCTCAAGGAACTGTTAGAAAAACAGAGAAGGGATATACCCATGTTTCTTGCTCTCCTATTCTTAAGCTTCCTCCCTGTATCATACTCCATGTCTGCCATTGCTGATCAAAAGTTTAACCAGTTGTACCTCCAGGGATACCAACCTCTCCAAAACCATCCAGGGGACTGCTATGAAGGCCCCCACTAGGACACAGGAGTCTGAAGATCTTGCCCCATACAGTGCCTCCTGCCAGCAGGAAGCAGCTAAGAGGCTGACGCTTTACCCCAATTCCCAATCCTCAGCCCCTACCCTCATCATTATTAAAGAAAAAATGGGGGAATAATAGAGTAATAATGTTGCCATTTTGTGAATCAGTGGCAAAAATGTCAGCCCCACCCCTTAATAGAAATTCCTGTGCTCTAAGACAGCCCCACCCCTACCAGAGACTACCGCGCATGCACTAACTTCCTTAACCTCCCCCTTCTATAAAAGCCACGCCTGGCCCAGAGTCTGTGCTGTGCCATCTTTCCCCAGCCAGCCTGGCGGTTTGAGCCTGCCATTAAACTTTGCTCTTGGATGTGAGACTTTTCTTGTGAGCTGGCATTACAGGCTTGCACCACCACAGCCAGCTTGCACTTTTAAAAAGCTTCCTCTTTCTCACTATCACTCCTAACTAATCCACCCATGGTATGGAAGATGGGTCACAATTGCTCCACACTCCCAAGTTGTGGAAATAGAAAAATACATAAGCCTCAGAAGGATAGATTTCAGAATTACAAAAATAATTTCCTAATTTATGGACAGAGAGGACTCTTCCAGAAAGTATTTAGTCTCTCCTAATTGTGATGATAAACAGAGGATCTATTATAAAGATTCCAGCAAAGGTGGATAATATGACCTGTCAAATTATGAGATTATATTCTTTCATTAAGTCCAATTTCCAAAGCATTTCTGTTTGACCAAACCAAGAAACTAGAATCTCATTCCAATGTATTTTTAGGAGTCCTTATTTACTACACATTGGCTCATGTGCACCAATGCCCTCTCAACTACTTTGTCATCAAGTCTATCAATTTTACCTCCCAAATAGCTTTCAAATCCATTTCTCTTTTTTCACCCTCACTGTTTTATTTTATTTGTTAAAAAAAAATTTTCCTGGGCCGGATATGATCGCTTACACCTGTAATACCAACTACCCAGGAAGCAGAGATTGGGAGGATCACAGTACAAGGCCAGCCTGGGCAAAAAGTTTGCGAGACCTTTTCTCAGCCAATAAAAGCTGCATGTGGTGGCATGTGCCTGTCATCCCAGGTATAGGGGAATCTTAAATAGGATCATGATCCAGGCTTTCCCAGGCATAAACACAAGACCCTATTCCAAAAAAATTAACAAAAGCAAAAAAGGGTTAGGGACATAGCTGAAGTGGTAGAATGCCTGCCTGGTAAGTGTGAGACCCTGAGTACCACAAGGGGAAAAATGTTTCCTGGGTGCCTTCTATGTAACAAGATCTGTGCTAGACACTGGAGACACGATGCTGAATAAGACTCAAGTCTGTGCCTTCCTAAAGGAGATAAGCAAACAAACAAAATTACAGTACTCTGTGAAAATGCTATTTTGTTAGAGATAAGGACAAAACAGTATCTGCTTGGAAGCGAGGGGTGGGGGCGAGAGAGGGGTGGGAGGAAAGGGAGGGGGGGAGGCGGGAGTAATGACCCAATCATTCTACGCACATATGAATAAAGGAAATTTTCAAAATTTTTTTAAATGCTAATTTAAATATATGCTATGCAAAGGGAGTGGAAGCTGGAAGAGGTGACCTGAACTGAGTCTCAAAAGACACAGAATCTCAAACCTCACCTCTTCAGCAAAATGTGTGCTGCCCTCTGCCCCACTCACTTTGTACATATCTACTTGACTGCCTTCTACCATTGAGTTGTCTTTATATGTAGCTTTCTCCCTGGGTTCATAATGGCTAGACAGAAACTCTTAGTTTTATTTGTCATTATTCCTTCAAGTATATTGTGTGAGTAGCTGGTTGTAACCTTTTAATAGGTGCTTATAGAACCTGTTGATTTTCGTTTTAGTTGTAACTCACAGCCATGGTGAAGTACCTTCATTCTTACAAATTCTTATGATGGACAGTCATTCGCAGCACTGTTCTGCATCTGCTTTTGAGACTTTCTGACGCTCTTCCTGTTCCACTTGACTGGGCTTTCACTTTTTGTTCCTAGCACTGTGTGTACTTCTGAACAATCCAGAAGCTTCACTAAGCAGGAAAGCAGTACCTCGTGCAGCTCCCCTTACTTGGGAGCTACATTACAGTGGCTAACTGATCAGGATTGATGGAGAAGGATGAGGACCGCACAACCACCCTGGCACCTTCTTTCAAGAGCCACACTCGTCAGAACCATGGAATATCTGACGGGGTGAACATGGTTTGTCCCTCCATCTCCGGAAAAAATGACAGGAGCTCTGAAACCAGGCTGAAACCTAAACATCATGGCTTGACTTTTCCTAAACTGGTATCTGTGGGTAGTTTAAAATGGCCTGGTTCCAATTTTCTCTATTTCTAAATTGAACCAGAATGAAGCAGTGGAAATTCATTAAAATGCAGTGTTTCCCAATGTGTGAAACACAATCTACCCAGAGATTTGCAAAGTGATTCCCCATGGTACTCATATGAATGTCTTTTAATTAAGAATGCACTTAAGTCAAAGTAATTTATTTTTCAAGTCAGATATTTATTTACCTTTTATTTAGGGTAAGTAAAAAATGTATTGATTTAAATTCATCACCATGCATATAATAGCATAAGTGCTCTTAGAGGATTAAAGTTAACTTATTCCATTGCTCAAGGTTCATACCAACCTGTGAAATTATGGTAGCAGAGAATGCCAAAGTTGGAAGAGAACATCTAATTCAAGCCACTATTTTATTCACTTACTTAACAAATATTTACTGTGTACTTACTATGTGTAAGTTTAAAGGCAGAATTGCAGAGAATCATAAAGACAAGCATTAAATATATACCTAGTAAATGAATTATAATTATGTAGGTTCTATGAAGACATACAACATTTATAAAACCATTGACAGCAGGATGATGCTTGGATGAAATCTTCAAGGATCAGAGGAGATTAATCAGGTAAGGTTTGGGGTGGTGTTGGAGGCAGGTGATGAGAAAAGTGTGTAAAAAATGAGAGAGCCAGTGTAACTGGAGTTCATGAGACACACTCAGTCTCTCATGTGCAGATGTCCATATAGAGCACACATGGTGGCTAATTTTAATCAGGACCAATCCAGAAACAGAGGCTCTGGAGGCAATATGACCTGGCCACAGGTCTTAAGAAAAGCCACACATCCTAAGAGTAGCCAAACTCTGGCCTCACCCTGTTCACTCATTCTTTGTGAGCTTCAGCGTGCCCTGTGTTCAGCTCCTTTTCAGGTGCTGGGACCCTACAGAGAACAAAGCAGACAAAACTCTGTCCCCACAATAGCCCAACCAAGACACAGTCTCCTCCCTCTGCACAAAGACACCAACTTCTGTCTGTTTAGTTGCTTCTTTAATATCATAGTCTTTATTCAAACACACCAAAATTGTACTTTTCCCCTGGAATCTGAAAGTAGCTCATTTAGGAACAGGCCAACACATGGACATTGATTGTTTACTCAGTGATAACTTTTACATCCCTATATTGCTCCTGACTGAGTTTAGACACCCTTTGACGGTTCTAGGCAAACAAAAGAATTTGGGAAACAATCCAATGAACAAAAGCATTGCCTTCAATCACCCAAAAGTATTAGGAAGGCAGGTAAAATTTTATTCCTAAACACCTAAAGCCCATGTAATAAATATTTCCTTGCTAACTGGCAAATGAATGTTTCCCAGCATTATTGATGTCCAGAGACCCTAAGGAAAGGATCTTGTGGAAGTACAGCACAGTCTACCTCAGCCATGAGAGTAACTTGTTCATATAAACCATTGAATGCCAAAGAGTGGGGCAAGGAGAGGTGTAGGTACACCGTGGTCCATGGCATAGGTGGGACAGGTTCTGCATCCTCAGATCCAGCTTAACCAAATATTTCTCAGGAAAGAATATGTCCCTGCTACTGCTAGCCTAGCAGCCTGTGCAGGAAGCCCTGGGTTGGATTCCTCATCACTACGTCCCAGACCCACATCACCCCTTCCTCATTCTGTGGACTTACCAAGTACTGAGGTCCCCCATAGGTAAGACATAAGGCCCACACTACGTTGATGGGGAAGACAGGAAAAAGTAATGTTGGAGTACAAAAACAATGCAAACAGAACGGTCCTCATTGAACAGCCTGAGGAACATTTGATTGAAAAGAGCTATATGGTGAGAAAGCAATAAAGAGTTGTCAAGGGCACAGTCCAATGGAGGCCTGGGGAAAGCCCTATCATTTATACCAAATGATACCAGATCATGGTGTTGTCTGTGTGCAGAAGGACCATAATGAATGCCTTGAGAAAAGAATTGGCTGGCTGCCCAAAACATGCTGTCAGAAACTGCCCATGTCTTCTCTGCCATGTGCCAATAGCAGTAAAGTAGAGGCTCTTTAATGAAAAAGAACAACCAGGCCATATTATTCAGCCAACTGGAGGACTAACTGTGTGAATGGGGATTTTAGACACTACAAAGGTTGACTGTGAGGGAGTCTGAGCTGCAGTTTTACTTTGATTTTGCCTCTGTCAACTTTCCTAGTTGCACAGCACCAGAAGGAACATCATCAAACTTGGTTACCTGTGAGGTTTTTTTTGTTTTTTTTTGGCTTGAATTATTTGTCCATTCCTAGTGAATCATTCTAAGTAGTTTGTTGACTTATGGATTCTATTTGATATGATCTGGTTATACTCATGCATCCAATGAAATTATAGTATGCCTTCATAAAAGGATATCCAGGAAAAAAAGATAGACAACATTTAATTAAAATCAAAATCTGTTAAGAGCTAAGTTCACATTGGGCATAATTAATCATCATCCAACTCTCAGATAAGCACTAATCATGTATATATTATTTGTGCAAATCTCAATACTATTATATTGTATACCCAAATTTTGTCATTGTCCTTCTATAAATACTATGTAAGTTGATTCAAGTTATATACCTTTAAATTAAACTTACAGATGTACTTAGACAAAGCACAAAATATGACCAAGATGAAAACATTGTTTGAAAATACAGAAAATGTACAAATCAGTGACAATTTACTTGTCTCCAAAACTTTATTAAATTGTGTTTCTTCACCTATTCTGAATCACCTAACTTGTCAGTAATATGTACAAATTTTTAAAAAAAGAAATACAATGTTTTAAATTTGTTCCTAGGGTTCTTGTTGTAATTCAAAATAACTATCAATGTTCTTGGCTTCTTGATTTATGAATGTTTTCCAAGAGTTCTTTAATCCAGGACAGAAGAATATCCAGTTCACTGATGGCTTTATAGATTCCTTTGTGTCCAATCTGCAGATAAAATCAATATTAAAAAGCAGAAGCTTTTTGTATTTTAAAAAAAATATTCAAAAACAAGGATTTGGAATACTTACCCCATAAAATGTTCTTTTCATCCTGGAAATAGATTTCATCTCTCTAGTTGATGAAACACAGGAAATCTAAGAAATCAAGAGGTACAGGTAGAATTGTTGGAAAGGGACTCGCCATGCTTTTCCATCCACTCAACAAATAATTATTTACCAGGTATTATGTGCTGGACACCGTGGAGTCCCTGGCAGATAAATAATACATGATTTCTGTCCTCACAGAGCTTATAGCTGCATGGGGTAAGATTATAAATAAAATTTAGAAATTATATTAAAGCTATGTTTGCAATGTAACTGTAACAGAGATTTATAGGAACAGCCCACTGTCAATCAGGTGTTCATGGAGGGCTCCTTTAAAGATAACCTTTAAATTGGATCTGAAAAATGAGAAAGATCCAGCTACATGAGGAAGAGAGGAAAGAGGAAGTTGGGGAGGAAATGCAAGAGGAAGGGTAACTTGGACAGAGGAAAAAGTGTTGCAAAAACCCTAAAGCAAGGAAGGGCTTAGTGCTTTCCAAAAACTAGCAGAAAAAATGGCTAGAGCAATGAAGCAAAAGAGATATGGAAGCATGGATTTGGGAAAATAACAAGGAAACATTTACTTTAAAACATCATCCTGAGTGTCATTAAAATGTATAGCTCAGTGTTCAGTGTGGTATGCCAGGAGAAAACACCGAGGAAAGGCATACGAGTTTCTCACGGAGCAGGCTGTTGTCCTGAAGAGCTGACTTGCAGCCTGGCCAGGGCAGCCACCAGTCTCCTTTGTACATGTGAATTTTCAACCCTATCAGAGTGTAGAATCAAATAGGAAAAAATTACCATCTTCCTCTGTTCTCCCACAAATTGCTAGAGGGTTAAAGAAAAGGGAAGAGAAGGAAAAAGTGTACATATCTAATTTGTTTCCTTTGTTCTTATTTATAATAGAACCAAGACATATTCTAACCAAGGCTAGAATAGACTAAGGAGTTTTTTTATGGTTGGATTATTCTCAATTTGCCAAAGGGAAAATAAGACCTGAGTAGCTTAGTCATTCACTTAAGGTCTCCCAGGAGGTCCTATCTTAATGGCAAAATGATGTACAGGCACTTAGTTAACACTTAATAACAGTTAAAATTCATGAAATGTGAGCAGCTAGATGACAACTATTAAAATGAGTAACACATGTCAACCAACAGGCCTCTAATGGTTATGATGGTGACAGTGTCATGGGTCTGCCTAAATGGGAACTCTTTCAGATCAGAATCTGCACAGGAAGGAAGAGACTCTTCTTTTGAAAAGGGTATCATAATTAGGCCCAGAAGAAATGTATGTTCAAGGGCTACAAACAAATTTAGGTACAATTTTCAGGATTCATAACAGAGGGTTAAACTTTCCTGTGCTAAGAGCTCTGAATTAAGAGTACACTTCACCAAAATATGCAACATGTGACCCTTCCCTTTGCAGTAGGTAGGGTGTTCTTATCTACTATTAGTGTGTAATGAACAGTCAGTAAAACTTGGTCTTCATATTAGATGTATATAAACCTCTGTTTTTAACAATAATAACATCATTCTTTGTGATCCCGTCAAAACATGTTAAGATTTAAAGGTTTAACACTGAAGGTAGGAAGCCAAAGAAGCCAACCAAATTCTGAGCATTAAAGAAGTGAAATAGCACTTCCTATAGAGTACTCTGCCCAGAGAGGTGTAATACACAGTACACCCTACAACAGGGTGAGAAGTACCAGAAAGACATCCATCCTCACTCACTCCCAAGGTGCACTCCACCACAGGAAAAGCCAGGAAAGCAAAAAAAGGAGAAAATCAGGGTTTGTTGAAAAAAAAGCTGAAAGTACCAGTGTTGCCGTTGGAGCTGCACTCTGGTTTACAGGATTTGTTTGTTGTAAAGGACCCCTGGTAAAAATCTGACCCAGAAAGTTCTTGTTTTCTTAACTGCTAGAAATGTGCACACAGATTAGATAGCTAGATTTTACTGTGACAATTCAAATTGTTTTACCTGAAAGGAGGAGTTTAAAAAAAATAAGTTCCTTTTCTTCGTTGCAGAAACTTGACTATATGACAAAAGGCTCCACAGTTTTATTGTAAGAATATCTCAATCATTTGACAAGCTCAACTGAGGCAGATATGATTTAGACTACAGGCAATTCATTAGTAGCACTACAATAACCAGAGACTGTCTCACAGTCAACCATAAAATAGCTGTGCAGTAAGAAACCACAGACAACATCCTAATCATTCTCTAAGTCAATGGTTTTACTGCCTATTTACTACACGCTGGGCTTTCACTAGTGTCTCTGCCACACAGCGTTGCTTCAGCTAGTTTATAAAAGAACCCTACATGATGAAAACTGCCTCAGGACACACATGATGACTCACAGTCTACCGAGACACAGAGCATAGTGCAGAGTGAGAGCACTGTGTGATAAAAACTGTGATTGAAATGAAAGTACAGCTGCTCTGGGAGACAGAGGAGAGAGAGGCGATCCAGCTGCTGAATTCCCAAGGGCTTCCGGAGAAGAAGACAAGGGAGTCACATCTTGAAGAATGAGTGGTAGGCAGGTGCTCTTATCTCTGAGCCACTCCACCAGCCCATTAAGGATGTGTATTGAAAACTGTTGAAAAACTAGGCGGGGGGCTGGGGTGGGGGAGGAAGGTAAAGGGGTAAGGAAGAGTATTCGAAGGGATTGAACAGACCGAAGTAAAGCACACCCACAGAGGGCATACATTGAGACGCCCCTCTGAACGTCAACTTAAATATTAATAACGAAAATCAGGACTGAAAAATAGGCACAGTGTGGGTGGTGGGGATACTTGTGAGGGGAGGAAGGTGAAGGAAGGAGATTAAGATGACAGTATATGGTTGACGGACTTCAAATACTTATGAAACAGAACTAAATAACCTCTTGCAATTGCTTTAAGTGGGGTGGGGAGGGGGCAGGGGAGAGAGATGATGGGGGCAATGTAAATAATGTATAATATAAGTCTAACAGAATTGTCACTACGAATTCCCCCCCCCGTATTATGAATCTATCCTAGTAAAATAATTAAAAAACAAAGAATGAGTAGAAGTTGCACAGAGAAGGGGTGAGCAGACAGAGAAAGAAAAAGAGAGCAGAGATGATTTAAAAACACTTCAGGTCCCAACTAAAATCCCTAAGCTAATTATCTAAGTTACAGCCCCAACCCCCAGCCCCTGGCAACTCATTCTCCTGCCCTCTGGTCCCTTCATAGTCCCATTGCATCCAGAGACCAGCAGAGACGGGGTGAGAATATGTATGGTGAGCTCTATGAGGACAGAGGAATTAACTATCAATTTTGGTTAAATTCCTAGCTCTGGGATAGTATTCATCAAATACAGGTAATATATGTTTGTTGAACAACTGAATCAGCAAATGAAATGTAAGTATCAGCCTCCTGCTTCAGAGTCTACAGCTTGCTGGTTTAATAAAAGTTTGAAACATGCCCTAGACATTAGTGAGCATTTCAATTTTGTTTACAACAACTAGAAAAACACATACTGCAATCTTTAGCTGGTGTCCTCAATATCCTCATGTGTTTGACAAACAGATTTTTATTGCAAAATACTATATTGTACTGCAAATGCATAAGCTGGGGGATGAAAAAGCACATGCATGAGAACTTGTATTTTTTACTTACCTGTGCATAAAACTTCCCACTGGATCACAATTACATTTTGGGCTGTGCTTGTTTCGGGGAGAGTTAGTTAGTTGACCCTGATGCTAAGATAGCTCCTACTCTGGTTATAGGGTCTTAGTTTCCAGAAACTATTTCTTTCTCAAAATACAACCGCTAGATAAGGGTTTAGAGTAAAGATTAAATTAACATTATTAAATGTTAGCAGATGTTGAGTTTCAAGCAAATCTAATTCCTTGACTTTTTGCATAGTTTTAACAGAAGGTCCTAAAAATATTATCCAAAGCACATTTAAAGAAATGGTTGAACAAGAAGCCACGAATAGCCAAGGCAATACTCAGTCAAAAGAACAATGCTGGAGGTATCACAATACCTGACTTCGAGCTATATTACAAAGCAATAGCAATAAAAACAGCATGGTACTGACACAAAAACAGACATGAAGACCAGTGGAACAGAATAGAGGACCCAGATATGAAGCCACACAACTATAACCAACTTGTCTTTCACAAAGGCGCTAAAAATGTACGATGGAGAAAAGACAGCCTCTTCAACAAAAACTGCTGGGAAAACTGGTTAGCAGTCTGCAAAAAACTGAAACTAGATCCATGTATATCACCCTATACCAAGATTAACTCATAATGGATCAAGGATCTCAATATCAGACCACAAACTCTAAAGTTGGTACAGGAAAGAGTAGGAAATACTCTGGAATTAATAGGTATAGGCAAGAACTTTCTCAATTGAATCCCAGCAGCACAGCAACTAAGAGATAGCAGAGATAAATGGGACCTCATAAAACTAAAAAGCTTCTGCTCAACAAAAGAAATGGTCTCTAAACTGAAGAGAACACCCACAGAGTGGGAGAAAATATTTGCCAGCTACACATCAGACAAAGGACTGATAACCAGAATATATAGGGAACTTAAAAAACTAAATTCTCCCAAAATTAATGAACCAATAAAGAAATGGGCAAGTGAACTAAACAGAACTTTCTCAAAAGAAGAAATTCAAATGGCCAGAAAACACATGAAAAAATGCTCACCATCTCTAGCAATAAAGGAAATGCAAATTAAAACCACACTAAGATTCTACCTCACCCCTGTTAGAATAGCCATCATTAGCAACACCACTAACAACAGGTGTTGGTGAGGATGCAGGGAAAAAGAAACCCTCTTACACTGCTGGTGGGAATGTAAGCTAGTACAAGCACTCTGAAAAAAAATTTGGAGGCTACTTAAAAAGCTAAACATTGATCTACCATTTGATCCAGCAATACCACTCTTGGGGATATACCCAAAAGTCTGTGACACAGGTTACTCCAGAGGCACCTGCACACCCATGTTTATTGCAGCACTATTCACAATAGCTAAGTTATGGAAACAGCCAAGATGCCCCACTACTGATGAATGGATTAAG